ACCCCTGAAACTAGAGTTAAGTATGGTTCGTAGCTGCCATGTGGGTGCTGGGAATTGAACCCAGGTCCTCTACAAGAGCAGTCAGTGCTCTTAACTGCTGAGCTATCTCTCTAGCCCCAAAATTATATTTTTAAAGTTAAAAATAATACATTTTAAAAGAGAACAGAAGAGAAAGATATTGTGCTGGGTGCTGGACGCTTTAGTGTCAACTTGACACACCTGAGTTGAGGGATCCTCAGGGAATTTCCTCTATTGGACTGGCTTGTGGCCATGTCCAAGGGGCATCTTCTTGATGAATGATGTGGTAGGGCCCAGCCCACCGTGGGTGCTGCCACCCCTGGGCAGGTGGGCCTGTGTTGCATAAGAAAGCAGGCTGAGCAGGGACCAGGGGAACAAGCCAGTAAGCAACGTTCTTCCATGGCCTGTGCTCCAGCTCCTGCCTCCAGGTTCCTGCCCTGAGTTCCTACCTTGAGCTCCAGGATGAACTGTGACCTGGGAGATGTAAGAATAAACCCTTTCCTCCCCAAGTTGGTAGTGGTCAGAGTGTTTTGTCACAGCATTGAAGAAACAAACCAGGTCAGAAATCTATATTAGGGATCTCTCCACATGCATGCATGTGCACACAAGATGCATAAAACACACATATACATGTCTAGCTGATGGAAAGGAATTCTATGACCCCAACATTATGTCATTTCATTAATGAAGCAATCTGTATGTACTAATATGATATGGACTCCAAGATAGGTTATTACGAACGAAATTCAAAGTGTAGAAGAATGTGTGTAAATATGCTCCTTTTCTTACTTTCTTTTCCTGTTGCTGTGATAAATGATCCTGATAAAAGCAACCCAGGTGGCCCACGCCTTTAATCTCAGTGCTCAGGATGCAGAGGCAGGTGGATCGCTGTGAATTTGAGACCAGCCTGGTCTTCATAGTGAGTTACAGGCCAGCTGGGGCTACATAGTGAGACCCCGTCTCAAAAACAAGGCAACTCAAGGGAGAAAGGGTTTGCCTCTCAGCGCCTCCTCCGGGAAGTCCCTGAGTGAGGCCCCTGGTCGCATCACACCCACAGTCAGGAAGCAGAGCGGTGCAGCAGCTGCTGGGCCCCCTGGCTCCACGTACGCAGTCCAGAATTCCACCATCCACAGTGGGTGGGTCTTCCTGCCTCAGTGAACACAGTCAACACAGCGCCCCACATCCAGAGGCCCATCTCCCAGGCGACTTTAGATTCTGTCGAGTTGAGAATGAACACTATCGGGCAGTGTGAAAGGTCATCAGTGGCTAACCCCCCTTTGTCCATCTTCTTGAACCACACGTGTGTGAAACGGCTTGCTGAGAGGGTTGTTTGTTTATGTTTATGTCGTGTTCATTTCGCCCACAGTTTTCTACTACAAATAGTGGTAATAATTTTGGAGTTTACAATCTCACTGTTAAAATAATTTATGGATTCAGTGAGCAAATATTTATCCTGCCTTTGTTTCTCTTTTGCACAGTACACTGTATATGGCATTATTTATATAGGTTGAAGTCAATACAAACGTAGAGGGTGCTCCCTGGGCCTGGGGAGGGTCCACAGTCCTCCCTTGGGAACGTGTATGGCAAACCTAAACTCCTAAGTTGTAATAATAACCTCTCTTTGCATTGTTTGGTTTCCGTCTGCTAAGGGAAATTACCAAAATGGACCACATCTTGGACAGACCAGATGATCAAGACAATTTCTCTGAAAATTCACAGACTGACTTCCTTTACAAGGTGGACCCGAAACAGTGGGTAAGCTGGGCTGGGCCTGCTGGTGCTTGCAATCCCATCACTTGGGTGGTGGGATAGAAAGTAGGAGTTGAAAAGCAGTTGTGTTTCAGGAAAGGGCTGGAGAGGTGCTCATCAGTTAAGAGTGCGGACGGCTCCTGCAGAGGGCCCAAGTTCAGTTCCCAGCACCCACATGGTGGCTAACAACAATCTGTAATTCCAGTTCCAAGGAATAAGACACCCTCTTCTGGTATCCACGGACATTGCATACAAGAAGTGCACTCATATGCATACAGGCAAAACACCCATACACAAAAAATAATAATAATAAAAAGAGAGAAAGAAATGTTCAAAGATGTTATTATACATTTTTGCTTGTATAGAATTGAAATGCCAGAAAATGACCTGGCTATTTTTCTAGAAAAAAGCAAAGGAGGAAGGAAAGGAGATCACATTCACTTTAATGTTGTGTATTGCTGTGTGTATTAAAAGATGAGCTTTTCTAAACCATTCAAAAGTAGGTCAAACAACATAACACTTCACCCCTGTCCCCTTCAGAGAGCAGCTCTAAAAATAAAGATTTTCATCTACCCGTCCCCAGCACTGTCACCACCTCTAGGAAAAGTACAGTACCGTAATGTCGTCTAATGTCCTCAGTTCTTTTAACAATCCTCAGTTGTGTCTCAAATGCCCTTGAGCGCTATGTGCTTTACGCCCACATCTGACAAGCTCTGTGGCATGCGTTCACAGCTCCGTGGGCTGTCTTAATACAGAGCAGTCCCACCTTGCCTGTTCCATGGTATTGAGAGCTTTCCCCACGTTTGCTTTGCTTTGTTTATTGTTTTGTGACTGTCTTGTTATGAGGCCCAGGCTGGTCTTAACTCACTGCATGACCTAGGCTGGCCCCAGTACTCACTGTGTAGCCCAGACAGGCCTCAAACTTGTGTCAATCCTTCTGCTACAGCACTGAGTTCTGAGATTGTAAGGTGTGCACCACCTTACCTATCTGGTGTTGAGGGTTTTTTTAATTAAATATTTTATTATTTTAATGTTATGTGTATGAGTGTATTGCCTACAGGTAAGTGCACCTGTGTCATGTACTGCCCATGGAGGTCAGAAGAGGGCATTGGATTCTCCTAGAACTGGAGTTATGAATAGTTAGCCACCATGTGGGCCCTGGGAATTGAACCCCAGTACTCTTCGAGGGCAGCCAGTGCTCTTAGCCGCTGAGCCAGCTCTCCAGCCCCAGTGTTGAGTTTCTGAAGCGGTAGAGCAGTCATCTCACTCGAATCGGGGTCTTAGAGTCCGTGGTCAGGTAGAGCTCTACTAGTCACCCGCCCTGGGGAGACAGGTGCCGGGCATTCCCTGCCATAGCCTCTGTAGCTGACAGAGGCTTGTCTCTGTATCTCGCCCACGCATTAGAAGGCTGGCCTCTCCCAGGCAGGGTTGGCAGCACTAGCTGAGCTGTCTCCCATGGTTACCATCTGTTCTACTTTGTTTCCTTCGTTGTCTTACTCAGGATAGGTTGGAGCAGGAGTCTGAGGATGACCAGGACCCAGATAAACGGAACGAGCAAGAGCTCCATCTTGTTCCCGAGGGCCCTCTTGTACCCTCACCGTCACAGTTTTTGGCGAAGAGCGTCCCTGAACTGTAAGCTTTGACATAACCAAGTGGGGAGCACCAGGTGATGAGGTGGGGAGAGATGATGAGGTTTAGCAATGAGATCAAGCCTGGAAGACTTAAAAAAGGAATCCATGACGAGATTGTACCATGAAGCACTGCAGACTCAGCTTAGTCCTGGGATACAGGCAGAGCCAGAGGTCTTTGCACACTTTGTAGTTTGGAATTAATACATATCTCAACATTATCAGCTAACTTCCTAGATATGAATATTATTCTAATCATTAAAAGCCCACCATGGTGTGCGTGGTGGTGCACGCCTTTAATCCTAGGACTCAGGAGGCAGAGGCAGGCAGATCTCTGTGAGTTCAAGGCTAGCCTGGTCTACATAGTGAGTTCCAGGACAGCCGGGGCTACAGGGAGAACCTGTCTGAAAAAGACGGGGGAAAAAAAAACCCACCGTGAAGCCCTCATGTACCATCCTGTGTGGTAGACCTGTCCTCTCCTACTACAACCTGATACCAGTATTTAACATTCAGTCCACAGAGAATGTAAACTTTATCTGTTTTTATAGATGAGCAATAGCTTAGTGATAGAGTATTTGATTAGCTTGTGTGAAACCCTGGGTTCCATATCCAGTAACACACACCCCAACAATCTCCGTTTTGTCTTTATCCTGTAAAGACCTGTTAACATGAACATCAAATACATACCTTCCTGGCCCATTTTGGTGCTAAGAATTGCATAAAAAGATCAACTTGTCACTCAAAGGAAGAGCATTTGGGGTTGTGAGATGCTACCCACTTCCTACCTTCCAGTGATCAGGATGCTATCTCCTCAGCCGCCACGAGAGTGCGTTCTTCGAGCTGAACCAATGGAATGCAAAAATGTATCTACGAATGAAGGAACTTGGAGCTGACCACGTTGAGTGGATGGAGAAAATCAGCAATATCATCCGAAAAATAAACAGTACAGAAAACACAGTGAAGAGGTAATCACAGGTGTTGGGGTTGGTGAGAAAACCATGGTGTGTTCACAGCTTTAAAACTCAAGACATTCTGGGCCTGCAGTGGTAAAGTCTTCAGGGTAAGCTCAGCTCCTGGTTAGACGTCCATGTCATGAGGTCATCAGCTTAAGTCAGGCTTCTATGCATCTCTTAATGATTTTCCTCACACACTTTTTCTTTGGAGCCGAGTTATCAAAAGGATGCATTTGGGTCTGCAGTGATCTCTCTCTCTCTCTCTCTCTCTCTCTCTCTCTCTCGCCTCTCTCCCCTCCCCCCTCCCTCCCTCCCTCCTTTCTCTTTCTCTTTTCAGGGCCTCATGTAGTCCAAGTTAGCCCAAACTCTCTGTGCATCTGATGACACTGAACTTCTGATTCTCCTACCTCTACCTCCTGATTATAGAGTGTTCTACCACACCCTGCTTTATGCTAAGACTTGAATCCAGGACTTCATGAATGCCAAACAAGTTCCTCTGCTAACTGAGCTATATTCCCAGACCAATTTAGCATTTATTTTTCAGATTATTTATTTATTGAGGTTTTAAGATGCTATGTAGCCCAGGTTAGACTTGAATTCACTAGCCAAGGAAAATCTTGAATTTCTATTTTGCTTTCCTTCTCTTTCTTTGCATGTATATGTGGGGAACGTGTGTGTGTAGGTGTGTGTGTGTGTAGGAATGTGTGTATGTGTAGGTGTGTGTGTGTAGGTATGTGTGTGTAGGAATGTGTGTGTGTAGGAATGTGTGTGTGTAGGAATGTGTGTGTAGGTGTGTGTGTGTAGGAATGTGTGTGTATGTGTAGGCGTGTGTGTGTGTAGGTGTGTGTGTAGGAATGTGTGTGTGTGTAGGTGTGCATGGGGTGTATATAGGTGTATATGTGTAGGGAGAGGTTGGGGGGTGTTTGGAGGCCAGAGGTTGACATACCATGTCTTCCCCAATCATTGTCCAGTTATTTATTGAGACAGGGTCTCTCAGTTGAACCTAGAGCTCATTGATTGGACTAATTAACAATCTCTGGGGATCCTTTGTCTTTGCCTCCTGAGTGCTGGGATTACAGACGGGCTGCCACACCCACCCGGCATTTTATGTGGGTGCTGGAGATCCAAACTCAGGTCCTCACATTCCAGCAGGAAGCACTGTACCAACCGAGCTGTCTCGGCAGGCCCCCTGGCTGAATTTCTGATCCTCCGCCCTCACCTCCCAAATGCTATGATTGCAGGCATGATCTGCCACACCCAATTTTATGCAGTGCTGGAAATTAAACCAAGGACCTCGGGCATGCCAGGCAAACACTACCAACTGAGCTCCATCCCAGTTTCCAATCCCCCTCTGGAGGGTCATTCAGTATGTGTAGAAGGATCTGACTACCATGCTGGGGGAAAAAAACAAAAATCAGGCATATTTGCCAATGTGCTTCTAAAACTCAGTGAGGCATTTTAAGGTGAAACAAAAGAAGATGAAGTTAATTACTTATTTATTTGTTTGGACACTGGTATAAAGAGCAGTTTGGCATCAGAGAGACCTGAGTTTGAATCCTGATGGCCTCTTCTTGGGTAAATGAATCAACCTTTTAAGGGTGTGACTTTCCTCTTCTGTAAAGGACTAATTGCAGCCACGTTATTGATTTATTCCAAGGACTCGACTGTAAGCCTGGTGCAAAAAATGTTCAGTCAATGGAAGCTATTGGTGGAGATAAATGCTCATGGCCTTTGAATTCTCCTGTCCCATCCCAAACTCTTTCCTACTACAGGAAGTTCCTGGTCCTGCTGTTTCCCTCCTCCCACACATTCATCCAACATGGACCTTTTTCTCCTCTAAAACATTAAAAAGGATCCAAATCTCATACATTACTTGTCTTCACTTCTAAATTCATTTCACATTGCAGTAAAATTATGGTTTTTGGTGTATGGGCCCGTAGGTTTCAAAAAATATACATGGGGACTGGAGAGGGCACTGGCTCTTCTCGCAGGGAACCCAGATTTGGTTCCCAGCACTCACATGGCGGCTAAAACCATTGTTCCAGGGCACCCAGCACCCTCTCTGGCCCTCTCAGGAGTGCATGCACAGGTGTGCTTACATGAGGCAAAGCAGTCATCAAATCAAATAAAGAAATAAAAATGTAAACTATGTGTTAGAGCCAACACAGTGAGGACATGGACAGCTCTCTGTTCACAGCATCCATTTTATTTATTTATTTATTTATTCATTTATTTATTCATTTATTTATTCATTTATTCATTTATTGAGATAGGGCTTCACATAGCCCAAGCTGGCCCTGAACTCCCGAGCCTCCTTCCTCCACCTCCCAAGTGCGGGGATTATAGGTGTGTGCTACTGTGTTGGTTACTCTCTGTCACTGTAATGGAACACCATGACCAAAGCTACTTATGGAAAAAGGAGCTTCTTCGGGTTTATGGTTCTAGAGGAGGCTTTTTCTTTGGGTAGAGGGTGGTGTCCATAAGGGTTGGGGAGGCGCAGCTGGATTAGGAGCTGTCTGATCACATTTCCACTCTCAAAGCCCGCCCTTAATGACACACTTCCTCCAGCAAGGCTCCACTTTCTAAAGGTTCCAGGACTCCTCCCTCCCCAACCCCCCAAATAGCACCACCAGCTGGAGACCAGGTGTTCAAATACCTGAGCCTTCAGGAGACATTTCTCTAACCAGCAAATACTGTTACTGCGTTGACAATTCTTGATGTATTCTGGATAAAAGTCCAAACAGTATTTAGATTTGTGAATTTCACTTCCCGGGCTGGAGATGGAAGTTCAGTGCTAACCTCACATGCACAGACCCTGGGTTTTAGCCTCAGTACTGGGAGAAAAAAAAAAAATCCCGTTCCCAATCTGTGGCTTGGTCTTTGCATCCCTTTAACAGTATCTTTGGATACTGGGCCCGCGTCTCTTCAATGTGCCGCTTTGCACAGGACCAGCACCTACTTAGAAAAGACAGAAGTATCTCCAATAGTAGAAAATTACCTTTTCTTTTCCTGTCCTCATGTGTATATGCATGCTTGGCGTATGTGTGCAAGCGTGTGCACTTACTTGAGACCTGAGGTTGATGTCAGGAATCACGATCCATGGCTTTTCGACTTCTTCACTGAGGCAGGGTCTCTCAGTCAAACCCAGAGCTGCAGATCTGGTTAGTCTTGCTAGCCGCCTTGCCCCAGGGCTCTGGCTCCCACTTTCAGAGGATGGAACCACAGGCGGGTGGCCATGCCCATACCGCGTTTGCCTGGGTCCGGGGGATCCAGACTCCAGTCCTCAAGTCTGAGTGGCGAGCTCTTCGACCACTGAGCTCTCTCTCCAGCCCCAGGGTGATTTTTTTGTTCCTTAATTCCCAATGCTCAGTCCAGTTTTCATTTGATTGCAGCTTGTTAAATGAGGTGGTATCCCTGGAAGACCAGTCTGATGACCTGGAGGATGGGAATCAGGACGCAAACATCGAGGTGAGCCATGACTCTGGACTTCTGCCCTCCTCCCCTCCTGCTGTGTAGCATGAACCATAACAAGAGGGAGGTTCCATTGCTGTCCTGGGAGGGATGTGCTCGGGTCAGCTGAGTGCCTAGACTTCCCTGTTCTTCCCAGACACTGGGGGAGACCCTCCTGATGGGATTCGCCCTGAGGCCACCATGAGGAGCTGTGCCTTTTGGGAAGGAGAACTTGTCAGGATCTCAGAGCCCTGGCAGTACACAGACAACATCTAGGGAATACTTGTTAACACCTGCATCCTGGCAAGGGCAGCTGTGCTGCCTTTTGTGACTTCCTGGAGCGCTTTTGTGTTTTTACAACCTCCAAACCTTTTCCTATTTCTCTGTCTCTGCAGTGTGTGCGATTCTTTTCAGAGAAAGGTTTTATTTTCTGCTTTTGTTTATTTTTGGTTATTTTAATTTTTGTTTTAGCTTCTTAATTGCATTTACTTATTATTTTTTCTGTGTGCATGTTTGTGTGTGCACACATGTGGACATCAGAGTCAGCTTGCAGGAGTCTTTTCTCTCCTTCCACCCCGTGGATCCCAGGCATCAAACTCAGGTTGTCAGGCTTGGTGACAGGTGCCTTTATCTGCTGAGCCATCTCACCAGTCCATTTTTTGTCATTAGTTTTTTTTTTTTTTTTTGGTCTTTTTGAGACAGGGTCTCCCTGTAGCCCCAGCTGTCCTGGAACTCACTATGTGGACCAGGATGGCCTCAACTCATAGAGATCCACCTGCCTCTGCCTCCCGAGTGCTGGGATTAAAGGTGTGCGCCACCATGCCCGGCTTGTTATTAGTTTTTTGTTTGTTTGTCAAGCTACAGTTTTCCTCTGTACCACAGACTGGTCTAGAACTCTTCCTATAGCTCAGGCTAGCCTTGAAGTCTCCCCAGTGCTGGGATTATAAGTGTGAGCTGCCACACCCAGGGAGAATTTTTTTTAATGTTTTCTTTATTATTTTTATTTTTTGTGTATGAGTGTATTGCCTGCATGTATGTGAATGCACCCATGTCGTGCAATGCCTGTGGAGGACAGAAGAGGCTGTCGGATCCCCTGGAACTGGAGTTACGGACAGTTGTTAGCTGCCATATGGGTGCTGGGATTTGAACCTGGGTCCTCTGCAAGAACAACCAGTGTTGTTAACCACTGAGCCATCTCTCCAGCCCCCCAGGGAGAATTTTTTAAGAGGAGGGACTTTGATTGGCAGGAAGGGGGGAGGCGTCACACATATGTATGGAGTTGTTTGTGCTAGAGATGCACAATTTTGTATATACACTAAAAACGCCACGTGCCCTCTGTTAGGGCTTCTCTATTGCTGTGATAAAGTACTGACCAAAAGCAGCTTGGGAAGGAAAGGGTTTATTTGGCTTATGCCTCACAGGCCATCATTCAGGGAAGCAAGGTAGGAACTCAGGGCAGGAACCTGGAGGCAGGACCTGAACAGGCCATGGAGGAAGAAAGCTGCTTTCTGACTTGCTCCCCTGGCCTGTGCTCATCCTGCTTTCTTTTACAACCCAGGCCAACCTGCCCAGGGGTGGCACCACCCACAATGGACTGGACCCTCCCACATCACTCAATAATCAAGAAGATGCCTCACAGACATGCCCACAGGTCAATCCAATGGAGGAAATCCCCCAATTAAGATTCTCTCTTCCAGAACATCACACATGAGTTTAGGAACCAGAAACAGTTCAAATACCCACCATCCAATCAGCAGAGAAGCTGTGGCCAGTGTATACAATGGAGCACTATTCTGGAATAGACGGGAACAAGTTTCTGTCTCATTCAACACGTGAATTATTTCAGACACGTTGTGCTATTTGAAAGATGCCAGGCTCAGATGTTAGAGATGTGATCCATTTATGTAACACTCTGAAAAGGGCAAAGCCATAGGAATACAGAGTGAAGTGGAGAAATGAGAGGCAATTAGAGAAGGCACAGAGTCAGGTGTGGCGGTGCATGCCCGTATCACGGCACTCAGGGGCAGTGGCAGGCGAAACTCTGAGTTTGAGGCCAGCCTGGTCTCTATAGAAAATTCTAGGCCAGCCAGGACTACATAGTGAGACCTTGTCTCAAAACAGAGAGGGGGGAGAGAGAGAGAGAGAGAGAGAGAGAGAGAGAGAGAGAGACTGAGACACTAGCCCAGCACCAGGAATGGGGAGGTAGATCAGGAATTCAAGATCATCCTCCCTACACAGATGATTTGAACCTGGGAGACTCTGTCTCAAAAAATTGTGTCTGTGTAAGAAGCTGAAATATTAGAATTAGTAGGCATATTTGTAGCTTTCTTTGGGTGAAGGGAAAATTAAGATTTTTAGGAGTAGATACAGATTCAGCAAAGAAAGTCTGAAGAAATCAAGCAAGAACGTTAATAAAGTTAAAAATAATATCACATATTTGGGCTCATTCCATATGAAGAAGAAAAAAATGAGTAATTAGCAAAGCTGGTTTTCGAAGAAAAAAAAAGAAGAAGAAAATGGTAAGACAGAAACAAACATCTGCTTAAGACCTTTAAGCTGTGGAAAGGATTTGAGGTGGTCTAAGGGTGTTGCCGAATCTGAGCCCTGAGTTCACCATGATTTCTGAAATTTCTGTTCAGACATCAGAGTTTTATTCTGACCGTCTCAGGTCTCTCTGCTTACTCAGGATAAAGATGTTTGCCGTGTAAATAAGCTAGCACACCAATGAACTGCAACCAGCATCGCACAGCTCCTTTCTGAATCATTTATGAATTAACACAGTGTGATGTGGGGGTGACTACATACCCCCAATGCAACCACACGTTGCTGAACTCTGCCAGCTGCTTGAGATGGCCGGTGGTCCTGATGCATGTATCCCACTAGCTCAATTCCCAGTTCAGGGGCCACTTATATAGGACGTGGCCAGTCGTGACTTACGAACATGATCCAATATTAGTTTTGTGATCAGAGCAGCATAAAAGAAAAGCTTGTTGACCATGAGTGTGTTTCTTCTAAAACATTGTTTTATTTCAATTCCATACATCATTATGATGTCTGTATTCTCTTTATTTAATAGGTGAAGATCATAGAAATTAGAAAGCAATTAAAAGAAATGAGCACCAGATTGGCCCAGGTAATGACAAGATGGCTTTACAGCCAAGGAGGAAAATAACTCTTTTTAAAAATTATTTTATTTATTTATTTTCTTTTTATTTCATACAGAACATCCCAAACAATATTATTTATCTTTATATCCGCATCCTAGGTGGCAGCCTCCCATAGCCTCCCCACCCTTCCCCCACTGGAGCATCCACTCTGTCATTCCGGTTAATGCCTACTTTGTTGTCAGTGCCCTCAGCCGTTTATGTGTATAAGCGTTATGCCTGTATGTGTGTAAACACACCCATGTCATGCAGTGCCCTATGGATGGTTGTTAGCCACCATGTGGGTACTGGGATTTAAACTCGACTCTTCTGCAAGAACAGCCAGTGCTGTTAACCACCGAGCAATTTCTCCAGGCCCCAGAAAGAAGATTTTATGAAAAAGTTAAATAGTCAAATAAGTAGTTCTTGGTGAATAGTAAATGCAAGAGCCACAGATTGGGAGTATCTGAGTGAAATAGTATCTTCTGGAAAAGACTGATGAACTCATATGTTTACCCACACTAGACCTGCTGAAGATCAAGCTAGTCATCATTCTAGCATGGAGTAGGAAAGTGGGAGTGACCACCCAATCCTAATTGAGTAGCTATAGATGATTGATGGTTTCTGTTGAGGAAAAGTCACTTTTCTTTAATGGTATGGATTCTGGTAAGTCAACTGTGCAATAGTGGATGGCCTCATAGTCAGAGCTCATGGGTTATTAAATTGTTTAAAAAAAAGCATGAAGTTGATGAAGTAGGGAGATGGGGTGGATCTTGGAGGGATTAAAGTGAGGAGTTGAGGATGAATGAATGTGATCAAAACACATAGAATTTAGGCACCATGACTTTAGACTCTGTGCTGGATGGCTTAAGTTGTCAACTTGACACACCTGGTTGGAGGGAACCTCAGCCGAGGAAATTCCACCATTGGATTGGCCTGTGGCCATGTCTGTAGGGGCATTTTAATTGTTAAGTGATGTGGGTGAGCCCAGTCCACTGTGGGTGGTGCCGCTCCTGGGCAGGTGGTCCTATATTGTATAAGAAAGCAGGATGAAGTGGAGAGATGGCACAGCAGTTAAGAGAGCTGGCTGTTCTTGCAGAGGACCCAGGTTCAGTTCTCAGGAGCTACATGGCAGCTAACAACCATCCTAACTCCAGTTGTAGGGGATCCAATGCCTTCTTCTGACCTCCTTGGACATTGCACAACATGGGTGTGCTTGCACATATTCAGACAATACATTCATACACGTAAAATAAAGACAATAAATAAAAAAAATCTATGTAAGTGTCATGTGTATAGATAGTCCTTCTAACAAATTAGTTTTTGGCAATTAAAACATCCTTGGACATTGCACAACATGGGTGCACTTGCACATATTCAGGCAATACATTCATACACGTAAAATAAAGACAATAAATAAAAAAATCTATGTAAGTATCATGTGTATAGATAGTCCTTCTAACAAATTAGTTTTTGGCAATTAAAACATCATGAAATTAACTTACATAAAAATGAAAAATAACCCCACTCCCCCAAAGACATACACAATGAATGCCTTAAGATATTTATATTCCTCTAAACTTTCCTTATACGTATTTACATGTTGATTTTTAATGTCATCATCTGATGTAGATTGTTTTATAACTTTTTTGATGTGTCTCCTTTCTTCAATGGTTTTCTGTGGATTTATTAGCTTTATTTTCTTGGATACTTGGGACTTCATATATCAACGTTTAGCATGTGAAACTGAGCCTCAGAAACCTATGTCTGGGGCTGGTGGGGGCTGTAGCTCAGTTTGTAGAGTGTTTGCCTAGTATACATGAAGCTCTGGGTTTGATCCCCAACACTGTATACATGGGGTATGGTGGTTCACTAGGAGGGTGGAAGCTGGAGGATCAAAAGTTAAAGGTCATCCTCAGCTATAAGCCAAGTTTGAAGCCAGTCTAAGACGGAAGAGATCCTGTCTCAAAACAAACCAACTAACCTGTGGCTTTGCTTGCTCCACTACTTTCAAACTCAACTGTGGGGCTGGAGAGATGCTCAGCAGTTAAGAGCACTGGCTGCTCTTGCAGAGGACCGGGGTTGGAATCCCAGCACCCACATGGCAGCTAACAACCATCCGTAACTCCAGTTTCAGGGGATCTGACACCCTCTTCTGTCCTCCGTGGGCACTGCACGACATGGGTGCACTTACCTACATGCAGGCAATACACTCATACACATAAAATAAAAATAAAATTTAAAAAAAGACTCAATTGCTAGACATTCTGCTTCTAGGGCTGTCCGTGAACTCAGCACCCTGCTCTTCCTGCTGAAGCACGGCTTTTCAAGGTTTTCTGCTGGTCTGTGAAGAGATGTTTAATCTAAGACTTCAACAGTGTTATTCAGTTGACATTTTACAACTGGCTTTCATGCCTCCCGAAAAAATGGCTGCATTTTATTCTTTACTGATAGAAACCAGGCAAGACGCTGTGTTCTCTTCCAGACAACCTACTGCAGACATGGAAAGAAAATAGGAACAGGCCTCTGTGTGGACAGCTTTCCTGCCAAATCCCAGAGCCCAAACATTCAGTCTGATGCAACTCGGAAATGTTTACATATTTAAAATACATGATTATTTTCTCAGAAACTCACTGTCTCACCAGCCTCTGTCTTCATGGAAGACTTTTAAGGAACAATAAAGGAGTAGTGAATAGAGAAAAAGATGCCTTGTAAGGAGTGACTATTGTTAAGCCGCCTGTGGTGGTGCACGCCTTCAATCCCAGCACTCCAGAAGCAGAAGCAGGCGGATCTCTGTGAGATTGAGGCCAGCCTGGTCTACATAGTGAGTTCCAGGCCAGCTGGGGCTACAGGGAGACCCTGTCTCAAAAAGACAAAAAAGCGTGGCCATTGTTAAATTTATACTTTTATTTTTAATTTTCTTGCAGGTTTTTAGGTGTGGTGTGCATGTATATGCATGTGTGCATGTCTGTGTGTATCTCTGGGCACATGTGTGTGCAGGTGCCTGTGCATGTATGTGTATGTGTGTGTAGAGACACGTGGTTGACATGGGATGTTTTCCTCAACTGCTCTCCACTGTATTCATTGAAGCAGTGTCTCTCTTTGAATCCGGAGCTCTGCAATTCTAGTAGTCTAGCTAGCCAATTTTCTCTGGGGATCTCCTACCTCTGCCTCCCGGCAGCCACCACACCTGCCCAGCTTTTACATGGGCTCTGGGGATCCATCTCTTGCGTGTGTGGTAAGTGCTTTATCAACCAAGCCAACTCCCCAGCCCTTGAATTTATACTTTTAAAGTACTGAAAATAATCTCGTTAATCTTGCTTATTCTTGCACTTTGCAATTCATTGCATGATTCATAAGCAAATTTACTCTGTATTATTGTTTTTTTTGTTTCTGTTTTTGAGACAGGATCTATGGCCTGGAACTCACTATATAGACCATTGCAGGCCGGTCTGGAACTCACAGAGATCCACCTGCTTCTGTCTCTGAGCATTGAGCGGGGACTGTGCTGGCCTTAAAGGCCTGCCCACCACCCCTGGCTTGTTATTGTTTCTGTGCATGTCTGTTTGGTTCTGTGATGCTAAGGATGGAATGCAGGGCTTCCTGTATGCTGGGTACAGGCTCTACCACTGAGCTACATCCCCAGCCCTAGCAGTTCCCAGCAAAAGGAGCCATTTTATTGAGTAAAAGTAAATTTCAGCACACTTTGTACATGGTATCAAAATGAGAGATTTTATTATATAAACCAGAAAAGCATAACTGATGTTTTACCAGACCCGTGGTGTCTTTTCAGGTAGATGCTTGTAACAAAGCCCATGAATTAAAGGAGAAACTTGTTGTATGGATAAAAGTAAGCTGTCCCAAGTAACCTGTTCAAACTGGTCAGCAGTCAGCTGTTTTCTGACTAAGTCCAAGCAGCTCTTTCCTGAGAAGCTGAGGGTACACACATTCCAGGCTCTGGCTAGTCTTGTGTCCCTTCCATCTCTTCACCTTCTGCTTTGGTCAAGAAAACAACTGGTGATTGGGGTGTGCTCCTAAGTTCCCAGCATCCCGCTTTACCGCACTACCTCTCAGCTGTCCACCTAGAGCTCTCCTCCACGCCCACATGTTCCCCTTCTTCTTTTAATTAGAGGAGATTTTTAGAATTGAATCTTTGAGAATTTCATACAATGTATTTGGATCATATTCAGACCCCGTTCCCCCTTCCTACCCCTCATCCAAATTCATGTACTCTATTTAAGGTTTGTGTCTGTCTGTCTATCTATCTATCTATCTATCTATCTATCTATCATCTATCAATCATCAATCTATCATCTATCTATCATCTGTCATCTGTTCATCTATCTATCTATCTATCTATCTATCTATCTATCTATCTATCTATCTACATCTATCTATCATCTGTCTATCTATCATCATCTATCATCATCTATCTATCATCCATCTATCTTCTATCTATAATCTATTATAAAAAAATCTCTAATCTATAAAAAATCTATAATATATATATTATAAATTTTTAAAGGTCTCTTGACTCTCCCTGTGTCCCCAAATGCCACGTGATGTTGGCTCATCCACTGGAGCCTGGTTAACCTACCCAGCATCACAGCCTTAAAGAAAACTGACTCCCTCTCCCAGCAGTGATGAATTGCCAATAGTTCCTCAGCTGGAGCTGGGGCCTCTTACCCACCTCCCCACCTTTAAGCTGCTTTGTTTTTTGGTCTGACTTGAGCTCACATGGGTCTTGTGCACACTGTAACCATTGCTGTGAATTCATATGAGTGACTGTGCAGATGTCTTGGAAACATGGTTTCCTTGTGGCCACCCACCACCTCTGGCTGTTCAAATCTTTTTGCTCCTCTTCTGCAATGATCCCTGAGCTTCAGAGATAGAGGTTTGATATGGATGTTCTGTTTAGGGTTAAGCGCTCTGCAGCCTCCTATTCTCTATAGAGACCAGTTGTGGGTCTCTGTTAATCACCATCTGCTGCATGGAAGCTTCTCTGGTTAGAGTTAAGAGATGCACTGATCTAGGGATTTAACAACAAGTCATTAGGAGTCAGCTTAATACTATGTCCATTTAGCAGAGTGATAGTAGTAGGCTCTCCCCTGTGTCCTGTGACCTGTCTAGCTACAGGTTCCTAGACCTGATTCCAGTGTCAACTGTGGGCTCCATTTTGCGAAGCGGACCTCAAAGCCAATCAGAAAGCGGTTGGTTGCTCACATAGCATTTGTGCCACTATTGCACCAATGGGCATATCTTGCCAGGACAGTTGTTATTGTAGCTCGTAGGATTCACAGCTGAGCACAGTTGATGGTTACTCTTCTCCTCTGATAGTGTGTGTAGCACCTTCCAGCACTCTGAGCGCTCACTAGCAGAGGTGACGCTCTGAGGTCAGTACCAGCTTCATTTCTCCTTGTTTGTTCTACAGCTCCTGTGTGCGGTGCCTTCAGCAGTAGGGTCTTACTGTGACATTCTGGTGGGTAACCAAGAGCAGGGGCAATGGACAGTATTGTCTGAGGAACCCCTGGTCAGCAGCTTCAAACGAGGGAGTCTTTTGAAGTCCCCACGCCACCAAGTCTCGGCTACGCACTTTAGCATGTCTCACTTTGTACCATCTAATGTACGTGCACATTTAGTTGTATGTTATTTGTTCCATGGGCCTTGTGAATGCACTTGTAATAGACTGTATATACATCCGTGTCTATTCTGTGAATCATTGTGTCTTGGAACAGTGCCTGGTAGACATCATTCCACACGTGTAGAATAGATAGTCAGTTGAACATGTGGGTTCAGTTCAAGGGCGTCATCCCACATGTGTATCCAGTAGTTAAAGAAGTATGTACGTTTTACTTACTTCTCCGCAGTGGTGTTGCCCTGCATCATGTGCAAGTCAGTGGGTATGCACGTGCCAAGAACTGCCTAGCTTGACGTGCATGCAGTTCATCAAGCGTGCCCCTGAGGCGTCACAGAGGAAGAACGTCCTACGTCGTGTGCACTAAAACTGGAAGAGATCAAGAATGATTTTTTTTAAGGATAGTTGATTGTTCGTTCACTTTTTCCCAGAACTTCCATAAGGAGATGGATCTGCTGAATGCTGAGCTGGGGGCATACCACACACCAGAAACGGAGACAGACTCTTACAGCTCTGAGGACGTGGATGTAGAAGAAACAGACCTTCTGCTTAGTGAGGCTTCCCCACCGGCTTCGGGGGCGAACTCTCCTTCCTGCAGTGTCGTGTGGTAAGGCAGAGAAAGGGGCTAGCCTGGGCTGGACAAAGTGCTCAGCACTCAGATTACAGCAAAAGTTCACAATTTCAAATGCTGACTTAAGTTTCACGTTCTTTTGTAAATTATCTATTTAGTCTCTTAAAAAGTCTGTAGTCAGACATGGTGGTGCATGTCTTTAATCCCAACATCAGGAGGCAGAGATGGGCTGATCTCTGCGAGTTCAAGGCCAGCCTGGTGGACATAGCAAATTCGCTGACTGAAAAAAATTTTAGAGGCTGGAGGGATGGTTCATTGGTTAAGAGCACTGGCTGTTCTTGCAGAGGACCTGGGTTCGAGTCCCAGCACCCACATGGCGGCTCACAACCATTCATAACTCCAGTTCCAGGGGCTCCGAAGCCCTCTTCTGACCTCAGCAGGCATTCATGGCAAGGGTATACTTACATACATGCAGGCAACACACTCATACACGTAAAAATGTAAATAGTAAATAAAATATTCAAAAAACATACAAGTCTATTTGCTCTTGAAGTTACAGTATTTTCCTGTTTTAGCTGTGGGTCTATTGTGTTAGGTATACAAATGCAGATTGCTTTCTTAATACTTTGACTAATACCTATATATAATACATATATTTTATGTCTATATAATACCTTTCTTTTCTTTTTTTGATTATTTTTAAAAATTTTTCTTTATTTATTTTTGAGACAGGGCTTCCTTGCAGCCCCAGCTGGCCTGGGATTCACAATATAGACCAGGCTGGCCTCAAACTCACAGAGATCTGCCTGCCTCTGCCTCCCAAGGGCTGGAATTAAAGGCATGCACCACCATGCCTGGCTATATACAATATCTTTCTAAATATTTTTTGGATATGTGCAGTGTGGGGGCTTGAACTCAGGAACTCACACATGCTGGGCAAATGCTCTACCACTGAGCTACACCCCAGTTCCTATCTATCTTCATCTTAAATATTTTATTTATTATTTTTATTTTTATTATTTTTATTATTTTATTTTTTGGTCTTTTTGAGACAGGGTCTCCCTGTAGCCCTAGCTGGCCTGGATTCACTATGGAGACCAGGCTGGCTTCGAACTCACAGAGATCCGCCTGCCTCTGCCTCCCGAGCGCTGGGATTAAAGGTGTGCACCACCACGACCGGCCTATTATTTTTATTTTTTATGTGTACGAGTGTATTGCCTGCATGTATGTCAGTGCACTCATGTCGTGCAACGCACACAGAGGTCAGAAGAGGGCGTTGAATCCCTGGAACTGGAGTTATGGATGCTTGTTAGCCGCCATATGGGTCCTGGGAATCGAACCCAGGTCCTCTGGAAGAGCAGTCAGTGCTCTTAACCTCTGAGCCATCTCTCCAGCCTCTCTATCTTTATCTTAAAGAATGCAATCTAAAGGTTCTGGTCACCACCTCCATGAAAGGAAACTACTTGATAAACCAGGTCTGAAAACTTTTGTTTGCTGTACAAGGTACCATTCCCTTTAAAAAAGAACATTACTTTATTGTAATGAACTTACAAATAAAAACACCACACAGCTAGATTAAGGTAGCTACTCAAACAAATATTTGTCCAGTTCCACACTCTATACATCTCAGTGAACTTCATATAGTTAGAATGACCATTCTGGGGGCTGGAGAGATGGCTCAGTGGTTAAGAGCACTGGCTGCTCTTGCAGAGGATCTGGGGTTGGTGCTAAGTACCCACATTAACAGCTAACAACTGTCCTTAACTCCAGTTCCAGGGGCTCTAATGCCCTCTTCTGGCCTCTGAGGGTTTGCATGCACATGGTGCACTTGTATACACGCAGGCAAAGCACGCACATACATAAAATAAAAATAAATAGGTAAATAAAATATTTTTTAAAATTTAACCCTGAGCCATGGAGCTCTGCTGAGGATTTTGTAGTTTCACTATCAGTTACATTTTATGCACTTATCTGCCATAAAAAAGGAAAAAAACTACGACAGAGTTAACTAGAAAAACATTTAATCACTTTATATCTTCTGTCACAGCTCGTGTCCCTTCACCTACATTCCATCCTCCCTCATCACTTAAAATTACCCTCTCCTAGTTTCTTTTCTAAATGTCATAGTCTACCCACACAGATATTTACATGTAAACATGAGAGCTCACGTCTTCAAGGCAAACAGGAAGCAGAGACAACAAACTGGAGGAGGGGTGGGGCTATGAACTCTGGACACCCGCCCTAGGAGACAGGCTTCCTCCAGCAAAGCCACACCTCCTAAATAATTTCAGTTATAGTTAGAGCATAGCAACACAAGGCATGAAATCAAACAAACAAAATATACCACAGATACACCCAATAGGAAGCCATCAGATCTGAGAAAGCTTAGATCACTGTGTAAGGGAAAGGACAAGACCCCGTGATCAAGAGCTTAATTCCACTGATAGTACTCAACTGTGTCCTGAAAGGTCCACGTGTGCCTTTGCATGCCCCCCAAAAGGGATCCTGCACCTCACAAGTGAGGTAAAGACTGGGCATAAGCGGAAGTGTGAGAGGCATTTCAGAGGGGAGCCCTCATAATCCCAGGCTCATTGCTTGGTATCTAGAGTCTTAGAAATCGGTTGCTGGCCCTATTGTGGACATGAGTGAATGTGAAATCTCATGAACTTCAAGCTCTTTCTTCGATGGATATGAACTGGGGTCACGACGTCAGGGACCCACCCAGAGTTTTAGGGTGACATGGATGGTGGTTCTGGTCAGGATCCTAACACAGACCTCTCCCTCCTTAGGAAGCATGCCCTGAAGCTCTTCATCATATTCTATGTGGTTATCTTCACTGGACTTTCATGTTACATACTGTTTGTGGATGCCTCGTTTGTCTTCGAAAGGGTGCTCCCTAGTGTGCTGGGGCGCCGTACAATGTGGGAGCTCAGGGAGATGCTTGCACCTTTCTTGAATTTGGAAGTGGAAGACTTGCTACCCTCCTAAAGATACAGGACTTACCGGTACCCTACTTTTATCCTCCACAATAAAACTTTCATGTTCTTGTATTAGAGCCATTAGTTTACTTTTCAAAAACTGCCATTCAATGTTTTCTAAAGGATGTTGTAATTATATGAAATTTAGTTGATCACAGGAAGAAAACGAAAAGGATTTAATTATTTGTTGATTTGGACACAGGGCCTAGCTATGTAGTATAAACTGGTCTCAAACTCATGATCATCTTCCCTCAGCCTCCCAAGTGCTGGGATGACAGGTGTGTGCCACCTCACTCAGCTTTCCAATGACTGCCTTGGTCCTTGTGCATGCTGTTTAAAGCACTTCCGACCACCAGCTTCCTCCTCCCCTACCCTGAGCACACTGGGACATGGGCTCCTTCAGTTATTACTGTCCAGTGTTGACCCTGAGGTCTCAGAGAAGGAACACAGAATTCCTTCCCACCGTCTTTCCAGTTTACTCCATTAGGTCGGGGCCCCATGTGGGAAGTGTGGGCATTTCTTGATCCTTCTCAACATCTGTTTCTCCTTTTGGCAACATTATCCTAAGTTTGCTTTGAGAGAGCTGTCTTTCCCCAGCAAGCATAATGCGTAATTATAGGTAGACTTCCAGTGATGTTTTCTGCCTTCCTATGAATAGAGCGCTCTCTCTCTCTCCCTCTCTCCCTCTCTCCCTCTCCCTCTCCCTCTCCCTCTCCCTCTCTCTCTCACACACAAAGGTGCCAGTGTATTGAACCAGACATTCTCTGAAAATATGAAGAAGATTCATGTAAAGAATTGAAAATTTGGAACTTCATTTTGTGAGCAAGTCTATTATCTTTACCTACTTAAACTAGCCAGAACTGGTTATGCTGCTTGCAACCACTCCTGAGTGATGTAGGGACTATTTCATTTTCTTTCAGAATTCTTCCTAATTGTGGGTAATGAGGAAATACATTTTTTTATTTATTTTACTTTTATATGTATGGGTGTTTTGTCTACACGTATCTATGTGCACTTGTGCATGCAATGCCTGTGGAGGCCAGAAGAGGGCATCAGCGTTAAGGATGATTGTTAGTCACCATGTGGGTTTGGGGAATTGAACCCAGATCCTCTGCAAGAAGAGAAAGTCCGCTTAACCACTGAGCCATCTCTCCAGCCCCGAATACATTTCTTTTTAATATCATAAATAGTTCTAATTGAGCTGTGTGAGATAAAGAATAAGTTGGAACAGGAAGGCAGATAGAGTGTAGGAAATTGGTTAAAAGGCCCTGCACAGGACTGGGGATGTGGCTTACTTGATAGAGTATTTGCTTAGCATGTACAAAAAAACCAGGTATGGTGGTGCATGTCTGTAATCCCAGCACTTAGGAGGTAGGGCAGGAGGATCCAAAGCTCAAAGTCATTCTCTGCTACATGTTGAATTTGGAATTCAGCCTGGGCAACATGGGACCCTGTCTCAAAAAGCAACCAAGCAAGCAAGCAACCACTCAGTGGTCTGGGTGGGCCATTGAGATGGGGGTGAAAAGGAGCTGGTGGTGAGGGAGATGTTGTGATCTTCGGTTGTACAGTGGATGAAGGAATGGAAGGCAGATGGGCAGAGGGTTGTGGGACGTGGTTCCAACTCTTATCTGAATGCATCTCAAGCCCTGGACATTTTTATGGCTCAGAGGAGGAAAATCATTTTGGAATAAAGAAACATAAGTAAAACTTAGAGTTCAGGCATGTTATGCAGAGTCAAGGATGTTTGTGTAGCATGGAGCCCACTGTACCAGCTTGCACAGTTTGTAGAAACCAACGCTGTCCTTCCCCCAGTGATTCCCAAATGCTGGCCCATTGACTGAATTATCTAAATAATTTTGGAGCCCTATATATTAGAGATTTCCTAACCTATCCCAGGTGTTTAGACTCAGTAGAGTTAATATGGGGTCTAGGAACTTTATTTATTTGTCTTTTTTTTTTTTGAGATAGGGTCTTCCTGTAACCTCAGCTGGCCTGGAACTCACTATGTAGGCCAGGCTGGCCTCAAATTCACAGAGATCCTCCTGCCCCTACCTCCTGAGTGCTGGGATTAAAGGCGTGGGCCACCACGCCCGGCAGGAACTTTATTTTTTCAAATCTTCCCAGGTAAGCATGTAGCTCAGTGATAGAGTATGAGCTTAGCATGCATGAGGCTCTGGGCAGGCAGATCTCTGGGAGTTTTAGGCCAACCTGGTCTACATAGCAAGTTCCAGGTCAGCCAGTGCTATATAGTGAGACACTGTATCAAAACAAACAGATGGGGCTGGAGAGACGGCTCAGCAGTTAAAAGCACTGGCTGCTCTTGCAGAGGACCTGGGTTCAAATCCTAGCACCCACATGGCAGCTAACAACATTCTGTAAGTCCAGTTCCCGGGGATCTGACACCCTCTTCTGACCTCCACATGTACTAGACGACACAGATGCACTTACTACATGCAGGTAATACACTCATACACATAAAATAAAAGTAATAAATAAAATATTTGGAAAAAAGCCAGACAGATAAACAAATACTCGATGCCAAAAACAAAATATAGAATGAAATAAAATAGAAAAGAAACTCCTCAGCTCTGTGTGATTTAAATGTAAATCTGGGGACTGAGCCTTGACACATTCTGGGAAGGTGGTGTGCGCATAGTCAAAACCCATGATGCAGCTGTCAAAGTAAATGAGCCAGTGCATTCTTGTCTTTGGGACTTCCCTATCACCTCGACCAGTGCTATAATCAATAATTATTTGTTTAGTAATTTCTCTTAATAGCTGTCTTTTCTAATACCAACTTTTCTTATTCTGTTTTGCTTTGTTTTGAAACAGGATCTCCTTATACAGCTCTGATATGCCTGTAATTTCCTATGTAGACCAGGCTAGGCTGGTCTCAAACTTTTGGCAATCCTTCTGCTTCTGCCTGTCCCTGCAAGTGTAGGGCTTACAGATGTGCATACCGTGCTAGGCTTCAATATCCAAGTTCTCTTACATGCTTGAGAAAACTTGTGATCCCTCCATTGATATTTGATTCTACATCGCACTGGTTCATCTACAGTTTTTCCAAGATCAATCACTTTGGTCTTTGCATCTATATTGTCAATTCCCGCAGGCCTTGAACAGATGGAACCCTGTTGAGGGATCCAGTCTGTTTCTGCTTCCACAGATTGCCAATAAAGCATATAGCCTTGGAAAAGTACAAATGTCAAAAGTCACTTAAATTTTTTATTTGTTGTTACTATTATTATGTGTGTGCACACATGTGCCACGGCACGTGTGTGAAGGTCAGAGAACGACTTTTAGGAGTCAGTTCTTGCCTTCCACCTTGCTGACGCCAGGTCTGACTTGTTTCTGCTGCTGGCTGGCCAGTGAGCAATCCGGGTGACTGTCTTGTCCCAGCCTCCCGTCTCCCTATAGAAGTGCTGGGACTACAGATGTGAGCCACCACCTCTTACTTTGTGGGTTCCAGGGACTGAACTCAGGTCGGTTGTCAACCTGCAGTGCAACAAGCACTTTTACCTGATGAGCCCCAAATATCACTTTTTAAAAATGTATAACAACTTTATTCATAATTTCACAAAAGTGAAATGTCCTTCAACTTGTGACTCAATAAGCAGTAGTGTGTTCACAGAGTGGAGTGCAAATCAGAAAACAGAATACTGCTACATCCAATGACGTAGATCTCAAACCCATGATTCAGAGTAACTTACTCTCAAAAAGCTACTTATGGGGCTGGAGAGACAGCTCAGCAGTTAAGAACACTGTTCTTGCAGAAGACCTGGGTTCAAATCCCAGCACCCACATGGTAGCTAACAACTGTCTGTAACTCCAGTTCCAGGGGATCCGACAGCCTGTCCTCTGCAGGCATTGCACGACACAGGTACACTTACCTACATGTAGGCAATACACGCATGCACATAAAATTAAAAAATAATAAATAAATAAAATTTTAAAGCTACTTACAGTTAAATCCCACTTAGGACTCTCTTCAAAAGATAACTTTTATGCTGATATTCTATGCGTGGAAAACTGGACTGGCCATTGGAAATGGGCACTTTGTTTGTGAGTAGTACTGAAGCTAGGTATTAGCAGAAATCCAAATAGAGCCATTTAATTACACATCTGTCTTAGCACTATCTCCGACTCTTTAGAAGTGGGACAAGCCCTGATAGTCTATTTTAAGAGACTCTCTAGACATGCAGTGTTACAGACAAAAACTAACTGGGATTACAAATCAGTCATTAACCGTCATGGTTACCCAGGAGGTGACTAACTTTCTCCGGAGGGAGGGGAAGCTGTAGGGGTGAGTGGGAATTTCCAGGACATACAAAAAAGGAAAAAGTCAAAGCTCTGGGAACAATGATTAATATATTCGAAAGGTCTTGTAGTATATTTTCAAAAGTCAAGGGTAAAAACTTGCTTACAGGTAAAGGACCTGTTCAGGAAAGTCCGTAGAAAGAACTTGGCATATGCATTTTATAATTTCCAGGTAAATTCTTATGACTGGATGTAGTGCAGATGGTTTACTTGTAAAATAAAAAAGGAATCTTGAGATTAAGTAGGTCACTTAAAGCTCAAAGTCTTGTAATAATTATGTGTCACAAATGGCAAAGCATGGTTAAAAATCACAAGGTTGTTTTTTAAAGAGTAAATTAGTATTTTATTAACTTCTTTTCTGTTTCTAATTGTTTTTGTTTTAAAGACTTTCTCTTTAATTATGTGTGTGTTGGAGGGAGGGTAATATTCATGTAAGGTGCCCAGGACACCAGAAGCATTGGACCCCCCGGAGCTGGAGTTAGAGATGTTTGTGAGGCACCCACTGTGGGTCCTGGGAACCAAGTTCAGGTTCTCTGCAAGAACAGACATGATCTTAACTGCTGAGCCATTTCTCCACCCCCTTTTTCGCTAACCTCTAAGATTGTTTTTTTTTAGGTTTTTGACAAAGAGGAAACATTTGTTCCTAGGGGATGAGCATCCTTGGAAAGAAAATGGAACTCTTTGTTTACAGTT